ATAAATTTATATGTACATAATTATTATATATAATGGATTACATAGACTCATGTGGAAGAAATCTGGCAGTAGATGTGAAGTGTGGAAAAATTAAAAATTGTAGACTATCGACGGATGCGCGCAACATGTCAATTTATATTATGTAAATGATTATGTACTTGTAGCATGGTCCTTATGCATAATACATTGATTCCACTCGCACTATGGAAGCGAACAAACAAGTACATGTTACTAAGTTATATACTGTATTGGACAATATTGCACGCATGCAAATTGAAAATAAAATTTTTATACTTCAGTTTCTTCCTCATAAAATAATATTGTCTAGCACTATTATATCTCACTTATCAAACATCCCCTAATGTAATAAAAGAAACTGAAATTGAAAAACTAAGCAAATATTACAATTACCATCAAGAACTGGAGGATTTGTTGCAGAAGCCAAACTGCTGCAAAGAGAGAATATGAACACTAATGAAAGTGAACGTTTTGTTCTAAGTGATGCTTGAATACCAAACTTTATGAAGTTAGATTTTGTTTTTTACAACTCATTTCAAGATTATCGATCCTCTCAACTGAAGTCAAGATTCTTAATTGATCACTACGTACTTCAATAATTGAATTTGTCAAGATTCATAAGATTTAGCCCTTATTTGCCCCCATTAAAATTTTAAAAAAATTTCTCTTTCTTAATTTTAACCATTTATTTTTCAAATAAAATAATATTACACATAAATCTAAATATTTTTATTATTTTTCAACCACACATTCTCCTATCATTTATTATTCCAAAAGTTATAAATTTTCCAAAATGGGGGCCAAACAATGTGTTATTGTTTTTCATCAATACATTACTAATATCTGTTTCGATTATAAAGTATTTGAAGACATAAGTTAAATTTAGAGAGTTAAAAGTAATGCGATAAATATTCAATTGATCGTTGTAATTTCTACAATTTTTATGACTAGTCACTAAACTTTTGTGCATGGCAAAAACTAATGATAAAAAGTGCCATGTGTGAAATTCAATTCTCCATGTCATCTATACCATTTATTTTTTAATGGTTGAAGTGCCGGATGGTGTAATGATTCTGTAAGTTCAATAATTAGTTTGAACATTTTCAAGAGACTCTTTAAATATGAAATATTCTCTATTTTAAATAGCCAACCTTTAAAATCAGGCTTCAAAAAACTCTTTAAATTAATATTTTATTTTAGAGAGTGAGTTTGACTCTCCAAATTTAGAAATGTATTCAAAGTATTTCAATTTTCAATGTAGAAAAATGATAAAATAATCTAAAGAAAAGCTAGTTAAAATATAAGAAAAAGAAAATAATAAATATTTTTTGGGATTGATGAAATTAAGTGTTAAATATAAAGAGCTTGTTGGAATATTTCAAAATTTTAACTCTCTAAATTTATAGATACTCTCCAAATAGTAGAATATGTTATTTAAAAATAGAGAGTCTTTTGGAGATACTCTTAGAGACGTTTTAGGGCTTGTTTGGCACCCATTCTTTTGAAGAATGAGTTTTTGAATAGTGATTGATGTAAAGAATGTGTGGTTAAAAAGTAAGAAGAATTTTTGGGTTTATGTGTAATATTA